GGGGGGGTGAGTGTTGTTAGTGTCCGCATATATTTGAAAGAGTTAGTTGGTGAATAATGTTGCTCGAGAAGTGCTTAAAAGTGTTGCTTAGCGGCAAGGCCTTTGGAAGATTTCCTAAAACCAAAAACCATGGGCAGAGAAAGAAAAGGATGAAAGAAGATAAAGATGTAGCCATTTAAGACAGATTGAACAAAAAATGTCAAAGAAAATGCATTAAAAGGGTTAAAAAGCTTTATACGCTGATGGAATCCAAGTATAGCTGCTTGTATCATCTCAATACACTTCAAGACAACTAGGCATTGTGCTGACCCGAAAGTTTTCAAGAGCACTTGCACTAGGAGTCTGCATCCCTACTTTGTTAATGTAGTGTGACTTACTGCAGTATTGCTTATCATGCCATTCTGGTAAGGAATGGGCTGCTATCAGAGATGTATGCACTCTCTCAGTAGACTAGCAGCACTAATAGCAGCTATTACCCAGAATTCCATGCAGCAGCGCAGAGTGCTCTGGTCAAGGCCTTACCCTCCAGCACACCTGGTATATGCTCAACAGAACGTGAAGTGGCTGGGTCATCTTGGAGCACAAATTTCCGTGAGCCAAAGAGTTGGGGAATCTGAGTGGGGATGGTTTGGGGTGATTGTATGGGTTCAGAGGTCGCGGGCACTGTGACTGACGATGATGGCAACTCCATGTCTGTAGCGACAAACAAACTGTTATAGAAACTGAGCCCATGATAGGCGCAACGTAACGATTGGAGTTAGTGCATACTGACAGGACGTCATACAGTACGTCAGTTTATAGGATTCATTGAGGTACATTTTTAGAGATTGACTCTGATGTTATGAACCATTACAGGGAAGTAATGGCTGTGCAGAGTCTCAGGTAAGGAAAATTTCAGCCTGAGAGGAGGGAAAGGATGAAGATTATCTCTAATAGAATGAGGAGACGACAATATAGTCCAGGGAGATGATAAAGTGGAGGCAGCACATATCCATGCAAGAATGAAAGAATGAATGAATGAAATGATGGCCAAGCTGGTGCTGAGAGATCAGGTGCCTCTCAATGATAATATAATGAAAAGCACAGGAATAAGGGTAGGTGCAGCAGTAGAGGAGAAAAGAAAGGGAGAAAGATGAACTCAAGGAATGAAATCAGTGCAGTACAGGAAACTAACCAGAGGTTGGGTCGCCATATGATTTGAAATCTGGCGCTGATGTAGTGGCCAAAAATTCTAAAAGAATTAAAGGAACAGGAAATCAGCATAAAATAACAAAAATAAAAGTCTGAAATTATAAAAATGCTAAAATAGTTTTTATTAAATTACAAAAGAATAAAAAAGTGTTTGTTTTCCTCTGGTTTACGCTGTATCGCTCTTTCACTTTCTGTAATGTTAAGGCGGGAGCCTACACAATGTATGTGTAAACATGTGAGTGTTTAATTGTCAGAGGAATTAGTATGATGTTTGTGTCATATGTGTTAATTTCAGTCAGCTGAGAGTGTGAGGGGGTTATTGACGTCACAACTTCTAACTAATGTTTCTGAAAAGGGGCACATGTTGATGAGCTCACCATGACAATCGCCGAGGTGAGCTGTGTTGCCGTATTCAACATCTTGCTCATAACCAGTTCTGCAAAACAGGAAAAAGAGTAATAAGATATTGAGTTTGTACTAAGGATGCACGTTTTGGGCATCATCATTAATATATACAGTTTTGCCTGTTTTTTTTTTTTGTTTTTTTTTTAAAACAGCAGGCATCAAAACATAAAATATATGTTTCATGAAGAAAAGTGGAAATGATAACTGTTAAGTGAGAAGAAGAAAGAATCTAGCTCAGCTTTGTAGGAAATCGGTTGCCAGTGACGATTGTTCAGTTTAGTGTTCTCAGTATATCCTCCTTGCATTTTCTAGTTAAATCTGAATATTTTCGTGATTGACTTACTGCACAGCTGCAGGAATGCGCTCACAAGCTCCATGTGCCATCCAGCCGCAGTAGGGGTCTCTAGATGCAATACAAGACCTGCAACACACCAAAAATATTGTTTATACCAACACAATATGGAAAATAAACACACTACACAATGGTTAAAGAGGTTTTGTGCTGTTCAGACTACAAAAATTAAACGTATTTGAATTGCATATGCCAAAAAAAATTAGATTTTGCTGCCTGTATAAACAGTGTTGCATTCAGGACTCACTTTTGACAGGAACTGTGTCGTTCACAGCGGCTGAGTGGTATTCTGACCACACAGCTGGAAAAGGCCACATAGAGTGTGTGGGTGTCTTTATCTAGATGGAAAGACAGAATTCGCCGATCGTCCTCATTGCTGGATAAACACCTGGGAGAAAAACAGAACAGACGGAGGGAGATGGTGAAGAACAGATAAATCACATTATCGGATCTATCCGTCAGTCACTGTTTTCTTCAGTCACAGTTCAGCAGAAGGATAACAAAAAACACACACACATTGACGAGGGAGAGTGAAAACATTTCGCTTTCACATTAAACAGATCTAATCTCATCTCAAAGGATCCAAAACATTCATTCAGGTCACAATTTGGGACTCATTTATATTAATTTACTCATTTAGTAAATAGCCAAGACTGCTTCATAAAATGACTCTGGTGTCTACAAATAAGTTTCCCACAATTTAAAGTCAAAGAGAATGTGCCTAGAGACTAATCATGAGACAATTATAGGATGAGAACATACTTGGCTTGGTTGAAAACATCGATCTCCTCTAATAGGATGCTGTCATTCAAAGACAGTGGGGACGTCTTAGCCAGAACTTTTAGGACCATGCCTGCCTCAGAGCCAATGAAAACCACCGTGTAATTCTTCTGGGGTCCTGCAGTGTTATCAACGGCGAGTGCCGTGAGCCTGTACCTACAAAGACAAAGGAAAAACAGGGCCGCTTTTCAGTTGCAAGGAGACGCCTAATTTACAACAGCTTAACTTGAGCTGACACAGGACAAAACATGTTGAAACGTGACATCTATCAAGACCTGAGCTAGTTAAATTAGGCATGCCAGTTGTTTAGAATGTGAAACCAACGCTCTTTGCTGGGAGGGTTATAAAATGTTTACCCGATACTTATTTAACAGCTGACATTGGGTCAAGATGGCAAACTGTTCAGTGTGTTGTATTGTAATTATAGGTTTTTATGTAAAAATCTGTGCTAGTATTAGATTTCTTTCTGATGGATATCAACAATTTTTTTCTGATTATGAAATGTAACCATTTCAGATAAATCAAAGAGAGCTGGTGGCTTTTCCTGTCAAAGTGGCCAGACTTTGCTGTTTGTCAAAATTGCAGCAAATCCTGCGAGAGTGTCAGATCAAGGTTTTTCAGACTGCCCTGAATGGTGGCACTGTGTCCGTACCTGACTCTTGTTTTGGTGAACCACGGTTCATCTCCAATGGAGGGGACTGAGGCGTCCATGAGTGGGTGTGACTTAATGAACTGAAGGGTCTCGTCTGGAAACTCGATTGAAGTTTTGTAAGACTCTGCTGAACCATGTCCCGCACAGCAGCCAGGTCTGAAAAGACAAAACACACACACATGCAGTTCTGGTTGAGGGAAAGAGGGCAAAGAGCCATGTGCCACATGCCTGTAAATCTATACCCGCCTCCATATGGCCACTGCACACACAGGTTAAATATGCAGCATGTCCAATTATCGCTTGTTAGTTATTAATGTCGCAATGATTAGCCCGTCACGCACTAGTGCATGCACCAACCTGGGCTTTGGCAGCTTCTCCTCTGGAAATGGCGTCCACACTGAATCTGGCGTCTTTTGCTCTTTGAAACGGCCATGGAATGCATTCTCAATGTCCACCATGGAGAACGCACACACCGCAGAGCCAGGGATACTGAATAAGCCAGAAACAGCGGCATTAGCGCTATTCAGCCTGTTTCCATGTGAAGATTTTGTGGAAAGGATTGTGGCAAGCTTTACCTGTTCAACTGTGTGGTGAAAACTCCAACCACAGAAGGCACCCCATTAATGTCGATGATGTCCGTAATAGCCTGGAGGACGTCAAAGTAGAAAAACGATTCTCCAGGAACGGAACAGTTCAGGCGAGCCTTAACAAAAGATGTCCAGTGTTTTTCCAGCACCCGCTGAGACCCTCCCATGTCATTTTTACAGATCCGAGCCACTCTGGAGTAAACCGCCTGCAGCGAGAGAAAAATAGCGGGAGAAACTCAGCATCGCTCTCTAAATAATAGAACTATCTCCCCAGTGGCTAAGTTGAATCTAAATATACGCAAGAAACATTTTATTTTTTATCTTAGAACAAAACTGCAGTGTGCTAGAGGTCTTGAATTAGCACCATGCAACCATCTTAATAATTCACTACTGTAAAACCTGCTCTCGATGCAGGTGTTGATTGCAATATTAACTAAACTTAAATATTCATTAGTCTGTGGTATAAAGAAGTCGTTATATAGGCCAATTTAAAGCAAATCCTGAGGCAATGGATGATATATTGACCCTCTGGGACAAACATTCATCTCTAAATAAATGCCTATGAATACTACATTAACATACAAATCAGAACTACATTAATACAGTTCAGAAACCATGGTATTACCATCTGATACCATCACTAATACCATGGTACATTACTTTTTGTGTGTGTTTTGTGAACATCTGTAGCAATGTTAGCATTGTGCATTACATTGCGAGTCATACCTTTCCCAAGTTGTTGTGCTCAGCTGCGATTTCTCTGAAAAAGAAGTAGACAAAATCCCCATAATCTACGGCGTGGAGAAAATGTGGCTCTGGAAGAGAAAGAGAGAGAAGCATTAGCATCCCTGCCGCTGACCTCAAGTTAAATTTTGATGCGTTTTTTTTGGAATGGCTGAGTGTTGACCTAGTTTGTGCCACAGGAAGCTGGATTTTACATCAACAACCGCCATTTTCTGCTCTCCCACACCGACTCATTTCTTTAAGTTACGGTTCAAGTTATAGGTCAGATGTGTACTGGGTTCAACAAGGTTAGCATAAAATGCTGACTAGCATGCACATTAAGCAGACAAGCGAGAGTTTCTGTACCTTTTAACCACTTAGAGTCATACTTGATGGTGCGAAGAGCAGAACCATCTCCCATGCTGCGATAAATCACAGCATCGCTGGCCAGGAAGTCTGCCACCGTCGCTGAGTACAGCTTACCATCTATGACATAAATATGTGAGCTTAAAACACACTTCAGCTTCATTACGCAATTACATACAACTCAAGCAATGTACTTGGAATTCAGCACACATTCGCAGAACACTAAACGCCTATTCACACCAAGAACGAAACAGAAAAGCGAAACAAATCTCAGAGGAAAGGTCTATTTAGACCAAACGAAAAAACAAACAAAAAAACACTGGTCATTTTTAAATGCAAGATATAATGAACAAGATATTTAATTTTTACTTCCTTGCACCTGCTCTTTTATATGTTCCAGGTACTGAAAAAAAAAAAGAAATTCTGCTATCTAAATAATAATAATAATAATAATAATAATAATAATGAATACAGTTTATTGTTTTAACCATATATCTAATTAAATTTAGTGAGTTTAATGCTTAAAACAAGAAAAATATTTTGATATTTGAATTAGCAAACAAGACAAAAATACAGATTAAGAGTTTTTTTGCAGTATGTGGCCTGTACAGACTCATTCAGATGCATGTGTGATATCAAAGTGTACTAATTCTCGCCAGGTTGTGCCGTTCCTGTCTGTAGCCTATACTAAAAGAGCTGGCGTGAAGACAGGACGTTCTCGTGGCATCTGATTTATGTGCAACATCAGTCTCGGCTCTCATTGGAGCGTTAATTTTATCCAAAACCTTTAAAATTCATGGCAAAGTTATTCATCATCCTCCTCATTATCCTGACAGCTCTCATACCAGCAAACAGGGCAGCGTTCGTCTGCTTGGCGTCAAACGGGCATCGGGCCAAACCGCTGATCTCTTCTCCATCAAACTCCAAGTTATCCAACTAAATAAGAGAGGGAAATAGATAGAAAATATAGAGATCCAGAGTCCTTATCTTCATTTTACTGTAAAACTGCTCCCAATCATATTAAACAGTCACTTATTAAAAGCAAAACAACAGGCAGACAGTCACATAGGCCTTATAAACAGCATGACCTACCCTGTAGTAACGGCACATGGGGTTGAAACCATTTGTTCCGCAGATGAACACAAGATCATCGTTTCTCGGAACCAGGACTTTAATGAAATTATGGCACTCGTCCTGAGAGGAAGACAAGATAGTGAGATTTATGGTCGCTTCAGTGCTGTAAATAATACAGAACCAGTGACAAGTGATTTATGCTGAAAAGGTGGAGGACTCACTCTGTGCTTTCCCTTCATGGCACATGTCTCCCTGTCCGCCTGTCCTGACCGCCACGTCAGCTTCTGTAACATCACACACCATCACCATTAGACACAGCTTCCCACCCGCACACTCTTAATCATTAACAATGTACTACACCATGGGCAGGGACAGAAAGACAGAAACAGAAACCTAGCGATTTACAAAAAGTGCTGCCATGACTGGAATTGGAACTTAGATTAACTTAGAGTTTTTATCACTTGTCACGCCTCGGTGAGACAAGAGCACTTTGGTCATAAATTAATTTACTGTGAACCCACCCTGTATGGAATAATCTCATTCCTGTAGGACTCTCTCAGACTCACTAAATACACCTGGTCCCTGCGAGAGAGAGAGAGAGAGAGAGAGAGAGAGAGAGAGAGAGAGAGAGAGAGAAAGAATTGGTTTACACACAAATTACTACTCATAGTTCTACTGTTCATCAACCAGCTCATCTGAACTGTCTGAACAGGTCAAACGGTTGAAGATCTCGCTTCCACATCCTGTGCTGACTTACCTGCCCGCGATGAAAAGCGTATCATGTATCTTGGTCATCAGCTGAAAGTCCAGTCTGTGCTGAGATTCGTTGCCAGAGGGGCGTCCACGGAACACGGGGTACTGTCGTGCATCTGCAGAACAAACAGATGCGCCGTTATTCAGTATTAGCGTCAACAGAGATCGATGTTGGTATTGATCGGTTGTGGCAATTACATGTTAAACAGCCCTGAAGAAAGACTTTGCTAAAGTAAGGAATATTACACCAGCAGGTCCCACATTGACGTCCAGCGAATGCACTGTCAGCATGCTGGAGTGTTTTCTCACTGCAGAGCACAGCAGTTATACAACGACTCTATTTGTGTATGTCTTCTTCCAAAGAATGTGGATGGTTGTTTCTTCAAAAAAATACAGGCACTTTCATGTCCCAAAAATTTCCATGCCTTACCATCATTTATTTTTGCAACCTTTCAAATTACTTATTGTGCTTTTATTGGTTTAATATAGAACCAAACCCAGACTTTCAATATTGAACTAGAAACATCCATTATCAAAAAATATATTATTTATTCGTATTATATTAGATTATTATAATGTTGTTTATTAAAACAAGAATGAAACAAGCCATTTCAATATTTAAATATTCTCAAAATGTTCTATATTTTCTTTAATTTGTGATGTCATTTCCAGCACAAATAATTTAGCTACTAAAGTTTATTTTTAAGTTAGTGTTAGTCAAAAGTGTCAATGAAGAAAATGTTTAGGATAAAATAGACACCTAAAACACGGAAATATGTGTATAAGAAAAAAAAACATGGATAAACATCAATTTAATTTTAGAATATTATCATATATTATAGAATATTATTGTCTGCCCAAGTGTAATTTTGTTAAATTATGCAAAAAGTGTGACTATTTTTGTGGCTCCTTTTTTCCTTTGAAAAAAAAAAATAAAAAAAATAATCCATTCTGTGTTGTATGTATATCCACTAGCCATTGCTTATGGGAAATGTGATGCACTAGTGAGAGTGTAAAAAAAGTGTGCTTTATGGCAGTTTACTTTCTAAAAGCCTGCAGTGCCAAAGGTACCTCTAGCTGAAGAAAGACCCGTGTGTGTTTTTTTTTTTTTTAAGAACTTGATAAAGATTTTATGCAGATGGAGACAATTCAGAAACAGTGTGGTGTCTGCTGGTTCTTACAGTGTCGGTCCACAACGTCTAAAGGGATGTTGTCCTCAGGAAAGCTCACAGCCTCCAGATGGGACACCAACAACAGCAGTAGCAGTAGGTCAATCATCAGTTCTCGCCACCCCATTGCTGGCACAGAGGTCACACACCTCCTGTACTGCACTTATGTAAATGTTACCTGCAACATACACAAACGCATGCAGTCAACACCATCAGCCATTATTTATAACTACTTCCTCTTGTGTTTTTTTGCATGACCTCTGTCAGGATTTGCTATGTAGATTAGAATGTCTGGTTTTTGTGTGTACGCATGTAGGTTCACTCCCAACAGATCATTTAGTGTGTGTGTGTATATGTGCATGTGTATTTGGCATCTGTCCATGAGAGGAAGGTCAAAAAACAGACAGAGAGGGTGTGGAAATCGAGCGCTTAAAGGGTTAGTTCAGTCAAAAATGAAAATTACCCCATGATTTACTTACCCTCAAGCCATTCTAGATGTATATGACTTTCTTCTTTCAGACAAATACAATCAGAGTTATATTAAATAATGCTTAGGCTAATCCATGCTTTATAATTGTAGTGGATGATAGCCCAAAATTTGAAGTCCAAAAAACTGCACCCATCGATTATAAAAGAAGTCTACACGGCTCCGTGGCATTAATAAAGGCCTTCCGAAGTTAATAAAAAACTTCCAAAGTTTTTGTAAGAAAAATATCCATATTTTACAACTTTATAAACCTTAATCTCTAACTTCTGCTAATTGTCGTATGTGCGTTCACGAGAGAGTGGCGTCCAGTGGATGACGTAGGGCATAGACGTAGCATAAGCTCCGGTGAGAATATGCGAGTCTCGCGAGAAACAAGTTTTGTTTACAGCAAAGGAAAACCAGTGTCCTCTTGGCTTATACTGAAATCGTTTTGTACTACTAATTCGTGACTGGTGTTTTATTTTGCTCTCTCCTCTGCACTTCCACGTTCGTCACTTCCGTGTTCGTCACCGCGTTTGCCTACGTGCTACGTCATCGCGCTACGTGCTCCGATTGTATTCGTCTGAAAGAAGAATGTCATATACACCTAGGATGGCTTGAGGGCAAGTAAATCAAGGGATAATTTTAATTTTTGGGTGAACTATCCCTTTAAGACACCACAAAAGCTAGCTCTGATACACACTTAAACACATACACTGTATTTAAGGATGTATTTTGTGTATTATTAAGTGTGCATGCGTGTGTTTGGATTGAGTACAATAATGGGGAGTGTGTTTGCTGTGCCTGGCACAGAAGTCTCCAAATGGACTTTCAAACAGGAAGATTTTCAGAGGTCTGCGTGCTGTGGTTGGGGTCTTATTCTGGAGAGACAATCATTTGTGCATATTAATGAGAAGTGTAAAGTCAAATATTTATATAAAGCTACAAATTATTCATGCCAGCAAAGCCCGAACGGATATAAACAATTTACATGGAGACAACAAACATCTTGGCAGAAAGAGAGAGTGTCACGATTCGCTGTGGGAGGAACGAGAGATAAACGTGCAGTACAAGCAAAAGTCTTTAATCCAGGAATCACAGGGGATAATCCACTCATAAGTTTGTAGGTACAGACATCTGTTGTGGCCGTTCTTGGCCGTTTTTCTGAGGCTTTTTTAATAGTGTTCATATCGATATCGGAATTATATCGTATCGACCGAAATTAAGAAATATATCGTGATATAAATTTTGGCCATATCGTCCAGCCCTAAGGTGCATAGAATCATAAAGTAATCAAACTAAGCAAGAAAAGGAAAAAGACCATAAAAGGAAACACAGGAAGAACTACGGAGGCAAAACGGGTCCAAAAATCTGACAGAGAGTGAGTGAGTCAGGCCTGAACCACTTCCTGAGTGCTCCCGCCACACATGCTTGCATACAGTATTGACATTTTTGCAATTAGCGGCCCTGCGCACCTGCACCCATGCTGTAATATGCATATGCTGCCTGTACCACCCTGCTATTATTGATTAGCTGTTGATTGATCAGTTCTCAATTAATCAGCTGAATGGGACGTGGCCTGGGGAAATTCTCCAACTGAAATACGATCCACAGTCCTTCAAGGAAAAGGAGATTCTCTGCTCATCTGTTGCCATAATGGATCTTCATTTCTACAGACTGACTACAAGTGATTCTGGGCTATCATGCTTTGATCGGATCAATAGAAATGACTCTTTCTCTGGCAATTTTTTATATGAGATGAGAGAATAGGTTGATGATATGAGAAGACGAATTTATGAAAAGAGACGGAGAGACAAAAGACAAGCTTAGAATAGAAGACAAGAAAAGAAAGGGAAAAAATTAAAAAGGGAGGGAAAAAGGCAAGATGAGACGAGGTGAGAAAAGAAAAGGTCAAGATGAGAGAAAGGAAAGAAGAGGTGCCGAGACAAGCATGAGAGACAAGATATGATGAAAAGAAGAGACAAGATGAGAAGACAAGAGACAAGACAAGGCAAGAATTGAAGCAAGGAGAAGAGCTGAGAAAAGAATGAGAGGCTAGATGAGAATTGAACATATGAGACAAGAAGTGAAAAAGGAAAGAAAAGATGAGATGAGAAAAGAAATGGTTGAGATTAGAAGAAGAAGACAAGAGGAGCTGAGACGAGATACAAATTGTATAGACAAGAAGGACACACCAGATGAGATGAGATAAGTATGAGAGACGAGATGAGACAGGAACAAAATTAATAAGGAGAGGCAAGACAAGATCAGAGCCAAGAGAAGGAGAGACAAGATGAAAAGAAATGAGACAAGACGAGGCAAGAATTGAAAAAAAGAGAGGCAAGGAGAGGACATGAGACAGGGATGAGACACTAGATGAAAATAAAACAGATGATACAAGAAAAGAAGGGGACAAGATGAGAAAAAAGAGACAAGAGAAGCTGAGACAAGACACTACAGATACTATGAGAAGGACACACCAGATTACATTAGAGAAGAATGAGATGAGAGGAGAAGGAGAGACAAGATGAGACCAAAAGTGAAGGAAAGACACGATGAGAAGAAAAGAGGCAAAATGAGGCAAGAACTGAAGCAAGGAGACACAAGGAAAAACATATGAGACAGGGATGAGAGACAAAATAAAAACCAGAACAGATGATTCCAGAAAAAAAAGAAGAGAAGAAAAGATGACAAGGTGGAAAATGGAGACAAGATGGAGAAGGACAGAAAGAAAGAGAACAAACAAGATGAGGAAGACACACTGGATGAGATGAAACAAGCATGAGAGACAATATGAGATGAGAAGAGAATGATCAAAATGAACACAAGATGAGAAAAGGAGAAGGAGATGAGACAAAAATGAAGATGAAGTTGCCCTTGCCCATGTGAGCTTGAGCGATTAAAAGCTTTAATGTTTGGACACTCAGTGGAAGTCAAAGGTCAAGGGGTCAAAAAATGTGTCTATCATAACCGAGTTCCAAATGAATTTATTTTCCCAAGTGCATCCTTTATCTGTACAGAAGTGCACACATCATCAGAATGGCGCTCTTGGAGGGGTCGGGAAACACGTATGGATTAAGCGATGTGTACAAGAGGAGTGGAAAATGGAGACAAGATGGAGAAGGACAGAAAGAAAGAGAACAAACAAGATGAGGAAGACACACTGGATGAGATGAAACAAGCATGAGAGACAATATGAGATGAGAAGAGAATGATCAAAATGAACACAAGATGAGAAAAGGAGAAGGAGATGAGACAAAAATGAAGATGAAGTTGCCCTTGCCCATGTGAGCTTGAGCGATTAAAAGCTTTAATGTTTGGACACTCAGTGGAAGTCAAAGGTCAAGGGGTCAAAAAATGTGTCTATCATAACCGAGTTCCAAATGAATTTATTTTCCCAAGTGCATCCTTTATCTGTACAGAAGTGCACACATCATCAGAATGGCGCTCTTGGAGGGGTCGGGAAACACGTATGGATTAAGCGATGTGTACAAGAGGAGCCCCAGTTTAATACAGCACTGAGAGTCTAATCACAGCTTCACAGCGCCGTATCTTTCCTCCACCTGGATATTACATCAAGAAATAAAGAAGGATATTTCCAGCACCCTGGAACATATTCATTGTCAATGACAGAAATTCCTCAGAAGCTCTAATCATTATTCATAGAAACACCACAGGGAGTCACGCAGACACGCTACAATACCACAACAATTCCTGCGCACAAAAAACACCAGGCTTGGGCAAAGAGAGCAAGGGAAACCTAATGCAAAACAGAAACAAAGGACATACAAAGGTCAGCCGTCTTGAATTTCTTTTCAATATACAGCGAGCGCAACGTGTTTTCTATTGAATGACTTGGTTTGGTTTTCCTTTCTTGCCCTCCGGTGTATGAGCCTGGACAGGCCCTGCGTGGAGAGAGGCGACTAGTCACGCAACCTGTTAGTGTTTAGCTGCTCCCCGGCTGCTCTCATTACAGCCTCTCTCTCTGCGATGCAATCACACTCTCGTTGATGTTTTTGGCTGCGTTTCCCGGGATGCTGGCACGCTGCTTGTGCTGGCAGGTCGTTCCAGTAAGATTGCCTGCAGCAGATCCACCCAGCGCCCGCCCACGAGTGTCCAGCTGCAGGAAATGCGACAGTGAAGGCCAAAAGAAATGAACAAAGCCAGTCGGTGACGCTCTGTGGCTTCAGTTAACCTTGTGAAATAAATGCTCCCCAATGGAAAAAATCTGTGCAGCTAAGGTTAGTTTAATGCATCCTGATGCAGGAGAGAATTATGTCACTTAAGTGAGGAGCTGCATTTCACAATCACTTTGCTTTAGTTTAACATGAACCCTGCAGCTCTGCCTGAGGCCTGACACCGAGAAGGAAGGTGAAAGAATAAATCAACAGAAGCTCTAAAATAGGGTTGGCCAGTATGATCGTATATACCACACGATGGGAGAAATGTGCCAGATGCTAGAGAATCTGTGCTACACCATGGTAGCATTATTTACACATAAGAGCACAAGAAGAAACATGGAAAAATGTGACAGTGCAGAGAAGGGACGTGTGCCAAACTTGTTTTTGAACTTGTATTTACAGTAAGTGTAGAACTAGGAATTAAAGGTATTTGTTAAGCACACCACAAAACAGAGTTTAATAATTTATGATTGCCTAGCAACATTCCCAGGTTTCTGCGTTATATAAAACAAAACTTTCTGCATTTTTACA